CCGTGTCGCAGCGTGTCGCAGGTGCCGGTGGCCGAGGGTAAGAGCGTGCAGCAGACCGTGGAGCTGCTGGCCCGGCGGCTGGAGGCGCTGGGCGCGGACAAGCAGGGGACGTTCGGCGTGGACTGCGAGACCTATCACACCGCGGCCGCCCTCGGCACACAGGGTCAGCAGGGCCGGGGGGCAGCGGGGCCAGCCCTTCTCCAAGCTCCTCTTTCCCTTTTCCTTCCTGTGCTTTTCCTCCTGCTTCTTTTCTCCCCCTTCTCCTTCTCCACCTTACCTGGAGGTGTGGAGGAGGCTCCTGGATCTGATGCTGGTTGATGTGGTTGAGGGGTTATGGTGGCAGCGCTGGGCTGTGGGTTGGACTGGCTGATCCTGAAAGTCTCATCCAACTTTCATTAGTCTATGATTCTACAATTCCTTTTTCCCTTTCTCCTTTTCCTTCCCCCTCTTCTTGTCCTTTTTTCCTGTTCCTTTTCCCTTTCCCTTCATCTTCCTCCCCTTGGGTGCCCACATCCCTTTCAAGCACTGATTCATGTGATGCTCACCACACTGCACTGAGCCCCTGCAGCCCCAGCTCTGCTCAGCCATTGCTCCCGGCCAGACCCATTGGAATCTTCCAGAGCAGCATTTTCCTGCTTTTTTGGCAGCTGGAGCTTGGAGGAGAGGCAGAGCCCAGCTCCCTCCATGCCTGTGGGAGGTGGGTGCTCCTGGGGTTCTCCTGTCACCTCCCCTCGAGCCATGCTGGTGTTTTATCCTGGTCCTGCCGAGGATTTCTTTCTCCCCGTGAATCTCCAGAAAGAAATCCAAGCTCTTCCCTGAATGGATACCACAATAAACCCGTGAGGATCAGGAATTACAGGCAGGAGGAGGAGCTGCTTTAAGGCAGGAATATTGGTTTTCCAGCCCCGCGCCCTCGCTGTCGTTCCAGGGCAGACAGGGAAGCTGATGTACGTCATGCACAACACCGAGTACCCCCTGAGCTGCTTCGCCCTCTTTGAGAACGGGCCCTGCCTGGTGGCTGATGCCAACTTTGACACCCTCATGGTGAAGCTCAAGGGCTTCTTCCAGAACGCCAAGGCCAACAAGATCGAGAGCCGCGGCACCCGCTACCAGTACTGCGACTTCCTGGTGAAGCTGGGCACGGTCACCATGGGCCCCAGCGCCAGGGGCATATCTGTGGAGGTGAGAGCCATTTCAGAAGGGTGGGGAATGCATGGATAGGTGGGGAAATTCCATGGGAGAAGCTGGAGAGGGAAGGTTTAGGTGTGATCTAATTGAGAGTGTCTGAAGTGAGCCAACAGGGAAGATGGAGGGAGATGTTTTATTTATAAAGGCCTAGAGTGTCAGGAAAAGTGGGAATGGCTTCACGCTGCCAGAGGGCAGGGACAGATGGGATATTGCGAAGAAATTCTTCCCTGTGAGGGTGGGAAAGCCATGGAAAAAATTTCCCAGAGAAGCTGTGGCTGTCCCTGGATCCCTGGAAGTGTCCAAGGCTGGTTGGACACTGGGGCTTGGAGCAGCCTGGGACAGTGGGAGGTGTCCCTGCCCTGGATGAGCTTTAAGGTCCCATCCCCAAAACATTCCATGATTCTGTAATTCCCTGTCCTGTCTGTGTCCCAGTTGTTTTGCTGGTGCAGGAGGCAGGTTTGGATCTCCTCTCCCAAGGTTTAATCCAGGCAGGTGCTCTGGGGCTGTCCCTGCACAGGGAATCCCTGCAGGAATGCCATCCTGATAAAAAGCTGATGAAATTTCAGCTGCACAACACGAGCAGCATCCCTCAGGATGGCCAAGGGGATAAAACAACCTTTCCAGTGCTAATTCCCTACTGATTTGGGCCTTGCTGTCCTTCCCTTTGCATGTTACCTTCCCTTCCCTTTGGAAAGGGTCCTCTTGCATGTTCCCAACACGTTCTGTCTCATTTATATTTACCCATCCTTGTTAGATGGTGAATATTTTGGGGTGTTTCCATGAAAAGCCTTCCCTGCATGAAGGCTTCAGGGCTGTGGGATGTGTTCCCAGGTGGAATTCTGCCCCTGCTGTCACCTCCAGGGTGTCTGGGATGTGTTCCCAGGTGGAATTCTGCCCCATCAGCAGCTCCGGGGCTGTGGGATGTGTTCCCAGGTGGAATTCTGCCCCTGCTGTCACCTCCAGGGGCTCTGGGGTGTGTTCCCAGGTGCAATACTGTCCCTGCCACCACCTCCAGGGCTGTGGGACGTGTTCCCAGTCCAGGGCTGTGGGATGTGTTCCCAGGTGGAATACTGTCCCTGTGTGATTGCCAACGACTGCTGGAACCTGCTGATGGAGTTCATGCAGAGCTTCATGGGCAGCCACACGCCCGGGATCCCGTCGGTGTTCAGCTCCAAGCACGACAGCGCCTACAGCCCTGGGGACACCATGGTGCAGTACATGGAGCTCTTCAACAAGATCCGCAAGCAGCAGCAGGTGCCTGTGGCTGGAATCAGGTGAACAGAATTCCCTGGAGCTCCTGGACTGGATCGGGAATCCCTCCAGAACGTGGCACAGCAGGCAGCCCCAGGATTTTTTCCCTTCTTGATTTTTCCCATTTCTATGTTTTCCAATGCCGTGTGTAATTCTGGGTGTCCTCCATGGTTTGGGATTATTGGATCCGTGGCTCTTTGGACAGTGTTTTGTGCAGGGAATCGCTGTTTATCCACAGGGAAAAGAGAAATTCCAGCCAAAAGCAAGGGCAGAGCTTCTGTGACTACAAACAGCTACAGGAGAAATCTCTTCAATTTATATTTTTTTTATACGCACATTGGTGTTTTATTGTATTTCATGCCAATAAAACACTGGATTTTGGGAGGAGGAGTTGTCCCTGCACAGTGAGGGTTGTGCTGGTTTGTGTTTATTTACAGACTGTTCCCTTGGATCTGCTTCAAGAGTTTTATGCCCCCAAAGCAAACATTTCCCTGTGAAAAAAATTCCAGGATTTCTTGCATATTCCTGTTCCTGGCACATTCTTACTTTGCCTTCGTCCTCTGTAGCTGATGGGAATGTCAGAATCTGCTGGCTCTCAATGAAGGCTCTGGATAAATTAAAAAATAAAATGAATGAGCCTGGCAGGAGCTTTTTCAGTCACTGAGAGAATTCCAGCAGCTTTATCCCATTGTTTTTAAGGTAGGTAATAAATATCCTGTTCCTGCACACCATTTGAGGAATCCTGATGGCTTCAGATTCAATGGAATAAGGAAGGATTTGGGCACTACCAGCCAAAAATTAATTTTAAGACATAATGATATCTCTTCAATATATTTTTTTTTCCTTCATATTCCTGGGAAGGCACCAGCATTCCAGAAAAAATATAATTGGTTCCTTGCCCATACGAGTCTGAGGAGCAAAGAAAACAGAAATAATTTATCTTGAACAGGTTTTCTTTCTGAAGCAAAAAGGAAAAAAAAAACCAGCTGATTGTTGGCTTGATTTTATAATATGATTTAATCATTCTTACCTGCAAACCTAATCAACTGTTGGAGTGCTCAGAGCTTTTAGTTGTGAGCATTTAATAAATTTAATCAGCACAGGGCCCAGAAAGAGGTGGTTCATGAGCCCTAAGAAATGGCACAATGTCCCTTAAGTGTGGTAGAATGCTGAATATACTGAATTTTTTGCACCTTTTAGCCCCAAGTTCATGACTTGTGTTCAGTGGTGAAAATTCACCTAGTTCAGCTGGGAAAACTTATGGGAAAAAACTAGGATTTGTAGGGATGGTTATCCCTGTCCTGTTTCCCATTACAAGCCTTACAGTTAAAAAAAAAACCCCAAAACCCTCTTAATGAGCAGATTAGTCACGGTGAATGTTGGTAATGCTTTGTTAATTCCCGAGGCTGCTCCGGAATCGGAGATGTCAAAACTCTGCTCATGTGCCTAAAAAACATGGAAATGTGTGCTGGGATCCCTGGGGATTGCTGGGGTTTTATTAATACATTGTGCTGTTCCTGGAGCTCCAAAAAGGGAGCCCTGGAGCCACGGTCTGCCTTTCATTAACCCCTTGACGTCAGTAGGTTTCCAGAGACGTGAGGATGAGGAGGATTTAGTTCTTTATGTCCCAGCCAAGCCTGTTGATTGTGGATCCTTTTTTTTTTTTCTCTGCTTCTGCACCTCTCAAAATCTATGTCAGTGTTGTTTCATTCCCTGAACTGAAGCCTGACCAAGAGGGAGCAGGGGGTTTGGGAATGAAGGCCTCAGCCTTGCATGGTTTATATTTATAAATAAATATTTTTTTATATATTTATAAATATTATTTATTTATACAGATGATATATAAATAATACATTACTTTATACAGACATAAATATATACTATTCATATTTATAATTATCATCTCTAACTTGCATAATATATAACAGTAATAATATTTATCATAATAATATAAAAATTAGTTCTATATTATATATAATTAAGGTTTATACAGGTATAAATATATATATAAATATTATATATTTATACAGGTGATAATATAAATAATAATTAATTTATTTATACAGGTGATTTTATCAGGGTCACGAGTGGTTCAGTGGCAGAGCCAGTCTTGCTGCCACCCCAGGGGATTTTTGGGGCTTTTGTTCTGTTGTGCTGTGGCATTTTTTTAATCTCACAAGTGAGTGTGGCTCATTACTCTCCAATTTTAATTTAGATGCTGCAGGCTCATTGCAGCTGTGTCAGTGTGGATTTCTGTGCAGGCACAGGGTCAAAGTGGGCCAGGCACTGGTGCCACCATCGCCTTGGGGTCTCTTGTCACCTCAGGGGCCATGTGGGGTATGACCCCCTTAATCTCAGAGCCCCCATCTCAGCTTCTCCATCACCTCATGGTCCCCACAGCCCCCATTGAACCCTTCCCATCACCTCAGAGACTCTCTGGGGTGTCCCCTCAGTGTCTCCCTCAGGGTCTCCATCACCTCAGAGACCCTTTGGGGTGTCCCCTCAGGGTCTACATCACCTCAGAGACCCTTTGGTGTGTCCCCACATCACCTCATGGTCCTCACAGTCCCCCTTGGACCCTTCCCATCACCTCAGAGACCCTTTAGGGTGTCCCCACATCACCTCAGGGTCTTCCATAGCCCCCCCCCCGCCTTGGCCCTTCCAACATCTCAGGGACCCTTTAAGGTGACCCCAGGGTCTTCATCACCTCAGAACTCCTTTGCCTCCCCCCTCACCTCAGGGCTCCCCTGGGGTGCCCCTCATCCCCTCAGGATCTCCATCTCAAGGTATCCATCACCTCAGCGCCCTCACAGCCTCCCCCTTGTGTCCCCCATCACCTCAGGGACCGCCGTGGGATGCGCCCCCACAGTCACCTCAGCACCCCCATCACCTCAGGGCCCCCGTGGGGTACCTCCCACCCCACGCCACCCTCTCGGGGGCCCCCGCGCCGCCCTTTTAAGAGCCTCTTTGTCTCCAAGACACCCTTATTTACCCTCCCGTGCCTCAACCGAACTTCGGCCCCGCGATTCACAAAGCCCGGTACGTCACGGCCGGGGGCGGGACTCGAACCCG